ATTTCTTCTTTTGAACTCTCTTCTTTTGATGATGATTTTGTTTCTAAAATCTCTAATAATGGGTTTGGAAAAGGTATACTTTCTAACTTTGCAGAAGCTAAGAATATTGCAAAATCTGCATTAGATGGAGCCAGTACCAATATAGCAACGTTGGAAACATCAAGAATGCATATTAATAAAGAAAAGAAAGGAGATTTGGTCACTGGACAAGCTTATGCTGAGGAACACAAATTCCATATTCCACTAGCTCACTGTTTTGAGAAATTAAAGTTGCAATCTGATTCAATTTTGGATAATTTACATCAGAATTCTCCTTATGATGCATTAACCAACACTGCATATAACTTTTATTCTTCATATCCTTTTCAAATGTTAAAGCATATTCATGAATTTTTGTCCACATTTTCTGCAGAAGCTGAACAATGTAGGAGAGAACTTCAATCATTGCAACAAGTTACTTGTAATCAAGATCAAGCTCAAAAAGTGTTCAGAAATAAAGAATCTGCACAAGAGTTCAATGCTAAATTTATGAAATTCTTGTGTAATATACATTATCATCTTGGTTGTTTACCCTCTGGTTGCTATCTTGACTGGACACAAAATCCAGAATCAAGTGAGGACTTGCAGTAGCATTTTGTTGGAGCTTGGGAGCTTAAGGAGTTGGTTCCTTCTGTGGTGAAACCCCCTGAACTAGAACTTAAACCCCTACCCCCCAATCTTAAATATGTCTATCTTGCTGGAGATAATAAATTACCAGTGATTATAGCTACTTCACTCATTGTTACAGAGGAGGAACAATTAATTACTGTTCTGTAGAAACATAAAAAGGCAATAGGTTGGTTTATGGCAGACATACTTGGAATTAATCCTTCAATTTGTACTCACAGAATATTATTAAATGATGGGATGAAACCAATTAGACAACCTCAACGTAGGCTTAACCCCTTGATTTTAGATGTTGTTAAAAAAGAGGTTACTAAGCTCCTGAGTGCAAGCATTATATACCCCATCTCGAATAGTGAATGGGTCAGCCCTGTACAAGTGGTCCTTGAGAAAAGTGGCATTACTATTATTAAAAATGAACAAAATGAATTGATACCAACTAGGATACAGAATGCGTGGCGTGTGTGCATTGACTATAGAAGACTAAATGATGCAACACGAAAGGACCATTTTCCATTACCCTTTGTGGATCAAATGATTGAGAGATTATCTGGTAGAACTAATTATTGTTTTTTGGATGGATTTTCAGGATATTTCCAAATACCGATTGCACCAGAGGATCAAGATAAGACTACCTTTACTTGTCCCTATGGGACTTTTGCTTATAGAAGAATGCCCTTTGGGCTATGTAATGCACCAGGAACATTTTAGAGGGCTATGATGGCTATATTTAGTGAGTTCCTAGGTTCATCCATAGAGGTATTCATGGATGATTTTACAGTGTATAGGGATAATTTTTCTGCTTGTCTAGAGAGTCTTGATAAAGTCTTGGTTAAGTGCATAGAGAAAAATTTGATTTTGAATTTTGAAAAATGTCACTTTATGGTGGATCAAGGCATAGTACTAGGTCATTTAGTTTCTAGAAGGGGCATTGAGGTAGATAAAGCAAAAATAGAAGTCATTTCATCTCTGCCTTATCCTAAGACTTTAAAGGAACTAAGATCTTTTCTTGGCCATTGTGGTTTTTATAGAAGGTTTGTTAAAGATTTCAGCAAGATTGCTTCTCCTTTGTCTAAACTCATGCAAAAAGATGTTGATTTTCACTTTGATGAGGACTGCAAACATGCATTTGATACTTTAAAAGCAATACTTGTCTCACCACCGATACTCACTGCACCAGATTGGAATTCACCATTTGAGCTAGCTTGTGATGCATCTCATACAGCAGTAGGTGCAATGTTGGGTCAAAAAGAGGGTAAACTATCCAGGGTAATTGCATGTGCATCCAAAACGTTGGACAGTACCCAAATTAATAAGAATTGTTTGCAATTGTCTTTGTTTTGGATAAGTTTAGACCTTATCTTCTTAATTCTCATGTTATTGTTTATACTGATCATACGGCTATGAAATTTCTTTTTAAGAAAACAGATAGCAAGCCAAGGTTATTGAGATAGATTCTATTGCTACAAGAATTTGATTTGGAAATTCAAGATAGGAGTAGTGCTGAAAACTTTGTTGCAGACCATTTGAGTAGGCTACCTGAAGATACAAAGGGAGTTTTTGATTCTTCCTTAATCTGTGATGACTTCCCTACTTCTGTGTTAATGGCTATGACTAAATATGAACCTTGGTATGCTAACATAGTGAATTACCTTGTTACAGATTTAATTCCACCTTCCCTTTCTCACTTTCAGGCCCAGAAATTAAAGAGTGAAGCCAAATACTATTGTTGGGATCCACCTATTCTTTGGAGGCTGTGTAATGACCAGATTATACGGAGATGTGTCCCTAATGAAGAAGTCACTGGAATTTTGGATGCTTGTCACTCTTGGGCATGTGGTGGACATTTTAGTGCTAAAAAGACTTCTAGGAAGATTTTGGAAGTAGGGTTCTACTGGCCAACACTCTTTAAAGATGCCTACAATTATTGCGAAGTGTGTGATAAGTGCCAGCGTTTTAGTGGAAATAGTAGAAGACATGAGATGCCCCAAGCTCCAATGCTTTTCTGTGAAATATTTGATGTGTGGGGGATAGATTTTATGGGGCCATTCCCTCCATTTTTTGGTTATCATTATATACTGTTAGCTATGGATTATGTTTCAAGATGGGTGGAGGCAATACCAACAAATAAGAATGATGCAGCCACTGTGGCCAAGTTCATTAAGTCTCATATATTTTCTAGATTTGGTATTCCTAGAGCTATGGTTAGTGACAGAGGTACACACTTTTGTAATAGGTTGTTGGATGGTCTTTTTGCTAAATATGGAGTAACTCACAAGATGTCCACAGCTTATCACCCTCAAACTAATGGCCAAACAGAAATTTCAAATAGGGAAATTAAATAGATTCTTGAAAAGATAGTGAGACCAACAAGGAGGGATTGAAGTGTTAAATTAGAAGAAGCTTTATAGGCATATAGGACAGCTTTCAAGACCCCAATTGGTATGTCTCTGATGATGCTTTTTGTCGTTAAAGCACTCAATTAAACTAGGTCCCAATTAATTTGTAGTTTAGGGTCGACCTAGGTCATTACTTCCAAGGAGCAAGTTATGGGTTTCTTTAAGTAAAAATTTAGGTGATAAAAAAATAAAATAAATTGGACCTAAACTAAAATGCAAAATTCTAATTCTAAATGCAAGATGCAAATGCCCTAAAATATGTATGAAAATTAAATTAAACTAAATGAATGCAATGCAATTTTTGGGGGTTTTTTGGAGGAAAATAAAAATAATGAATAAAGAAAATTAATCAGAAAGCAAAGAAAATTAAGAAGTAAAAATTCAAAGATTTCTCTTCAGGTACGGTAGAGGGGACAACTCAGGATTCGCATGGATTTAACTTTCATAACCTTAATCAGTTAATTAGACCAAAGGGAAGTGATAAGAGTGTGGAATTAATAAACTTAATTACCTACTTGAAACAAAGGAAACCCTCAATTTCAAAAGCCCTTAAACTATTAGAGAACTCATAACAGTATAAGGTTGGTTGATTAAGCTTATTAAAACCAATGAAAAATTAACTCAATTAATTTTGGAAATTATGTTTGAAATTATCCAATTAAACAATTAGACAATTAACCAACTTAATTAAACAATTAAGAGGCAAAAGAACCCAAATTTTGCAATTCAAACCACATTGATAATTGAACTCATAATGAAAACTCAATTATAAATTCAATTAACAATGCAAGGGTTCTAAACATAAATTCCAACAAGTGTCTCAACACAAATAAAATCCAAATATCAATCCAATCCAAGCATAAAGATGACAATCTAGAACTAAATTGTCTCACAAAATTACAACTTAAAATTATTTAAAACTAAATAAATTCAAGTCCTTGAATTAAAAAGATAAATGGAACATCACTCCCTTGTGGTCTTCAAGTGCTAGCCCAAGGCTCAAGTCTCCTTCATGCTCCTCCCAAGTTGCCTCCCTGTAAGCTTAAGCTTCCATCAAATTGTCTCCTCCCTCCACACTGTTGGGAATCACGGCCACCATAGTTAATGAAGAATGGATAATGAAATGCTGAATTTATGTGGGACGTGGAATGGAGGAGTCGGTGATGATGATTGAATGGGGCTTTTGTGCGTAGGGAAGGGATATGAATGTTTGATTGAAATCGTAGCGTCCCGCGGCTGAATGGAGAAGGAGAAAGTGATTGAATGTGATGATGGAATATGGTGCAATCCGTGCGTCCTCAATGGAGAATGGAAGGTATGATTTGGCGTGAACCCCTCTCCAAAAATAAGGAAAATAATATAATGAGGGAAAAGGAAATTTTTGTGGATCCAAAACTCAAGCCCATTAGTAATTAATTGACCCACTTGATATTAACCATTGGATTGTGCTTGAATCCCAAGAAACAATCTTGCACCATTGGATTCCCCATATGCTCTTTCTTGACCTACAAGAATTTAAGTGCATCCATTAATGTAGATTATATCCAAATATAATCAAAAATTAAATATCAGATATGCACAAAAATTAGGCAAGAAATTGCAAAACTTTCTAAGAATAGTCTTTCTAAAAATATGAGACTTGTTTCCAAAGAAATAGGAAAAATTAATTCCAAGTCAAAATAGGAAATCATAAAATATCTATATTTTTAATCTAAAATCTCAATTTTTATGCAAAATCCAAAAATCAACCAATTAATTCAATAATGCATAAAAAGTTCATTTAAGCTCAAAATTATCATTTAAATTCTAAATTAATGTGGGATAAAATATATAAAAATTGGGCTTTATCAGTCTCCGTATAGGCTAGTATATGGAAAAGCAGGCCACTTACCTGTAGAACTTGAACATAAAGCTTATTAGGCTGTAAAAGTCTGCAATATGGACATGGAAGCTACTATAATTGAAAGAAAAATGCAGATACAAGAGTTAGAAGAAATCAGACTTGAGGCATATGAGAATTCAAGGATGTATAAGGAAAAGACAAAGCTCATTCATGATAAAGGCATCTTTAGGAAACATTTTAAGGAGGGTGATCGTGTTTTCTTATTCAAGGCCAGATTCAAGTTTAAACAAGGGAAGCTCAGTATAAGATGGGATGGTCCATATACAGTTACCAAAGTGCATGATTTTGGCATGTTGGAACTTCTGGCTGAGCAAAATGGTTGCACATTGAAGGTCAATAGACATTTGCTTAAGCTCTATCATGAAAACTCCCAGCCACCTTGAATATCAGGTTGCCTCTTTTCCCTATTGCTTGTTTTTCATTTTTGTGTCTTGCTGGTGATATTTTATGCTTAAATGATTTGAGAATAAGTGTGGGGGGAAGAGGTCATTTCAGTAGTTTTTTTTTTAAAAAAATGGTGTTTTATTTGTTTTCCTTTCTTTTGTTTTGTTGTTTTTACTATGGACTTTTCATGTGCTCTAGACTGTATTGAGGACAATACTGAATTTAAGTGTAGGGGAAGGATAATATCTTGATGATTTTGAAATTCTTGGTTTTAGATTGTGTACTGCTGATATGACTTAGCACTCTTGTCCCTTGCTTTAAGTGTCTATGCATAATCCACTTTCTAGATCAGTTGTGCTGCACTAAACCTTTGCTACTCCAAAAATCTCTTTGGTTCTAAGCTTGATTTTCTGAAATCATGTTGATAACTTTCCGACTTGAACATTTAGAAATTTGGGAATTCATTGAAACCTAATTATTCTTGGTAAGATTCAGCATTTGAAGTTGAGAAATGTTGTATTAAGGTTAGAATTGATTTTATCCAGCTGTTGTATTGGATTTGGGAAGAATAACCTATGTTGGAACGTCTTGTTTGAGCCTAAATTCCTTTTATTATGAGTGCAATCTCCTTAGTACTAGGACCCTCTAGAATTTGACCTAGCTCTTAATTGAGGCCACATTTTTGCTTTGGGAAATTGCATATGAAAGAGGCATTCTATTCTAAACCCAGTTTACTCCAAACACAAACCATTGATGCTAACTTTTGCTTAACCCCATTATTCATGATTCTTTTCATATCATACTGGCCAACTTAAGTAAGATTGCATTGCATTTGATCATCAAGTTTCATGCTTTTTCATTGTTAGGATCTATTTTGTATTACCTTTGTTTAATTCTATCTTAGGATGCTAGCTATGAAAATTTAAAAAAAAAAAAAAGAGAAAAAATGGGAAAAAAAAGAGAAGGAAGAAAAGGGCAGTTGAAGAAAAAAAGCGAATTGAAAAAAAGGATATACAAAAAAAAGAGCCAATAAGCAGCAGAAAAAAAGAAATGAGAAAAAAAAATTTTTTGGAAAAGCCTAACCAAAGAATTATAAACAAGATTATAGCTAGTATCTCATAACTCTAGTATTCCAATAAGAGCTACACATTAGCATTTGCATTCATGGCTTGCGTTGAAGAGTTCATTTGTGAGTTGTTTGTATTCTTTCTGTCTTGTTTTCAGCATGCATGCATTCTTGCTCAAGTGGCCAGATTCCATTCTTTAGCCTTTCCAACATTACAACCTTAAGGGAAGTCCTCTTGATGCAAAATTACCTCATGCTACTCAGTGGTGGAGATATTAGAGTTTCGTCAAACTTATGGTAGGGCCTAGGCTAAGAGAGAAGAGTGAAATGACCTTGTAATGGAATGGTGAGGAGAGTGAAACACTTGCCAAGAGAATACTTCTACTTTTCCTTGTGCAATTTGCTGAATTAAGATCATTTCCTAGTCTTTTTATTGACAATTTGATTCCTTATTATGCTGGTTTTTCTCTTGAGTACTGGGTTGAGATGAAGAATCATAATTGGATACTATTTCAATTTATAGCTAGTTGTTAATGAGATTTCAGGAACTATTTGATCATATTTGCCCAGGAGTGCAAAGTGCTAGTGTAGGGGAATTTGATAAACCACATTTTGATCAACTAAATAATGTGATTTCCTATTGAATTTAAATGCTTTCATATGGAATTAACTTTAAGTTTCCAATATTTGATAAGAAAATGTTGTGAGAATTTGATGTATCGTTGCAGGATTGAAAGGGATTTTCTCTAATTTTGGAAGTATTGGTGAAGAATGGACAAAATCTGGAAAGATGTAGCCAAAAATCTTGAATTAGGAGTTAAAACACAGTGTTTTGAATCTGGTTAAGAGCTGGAATCATGTGTGGTCTAGTGTAGCATTCTGTGAGGAAAAACTTTAAGTAAAATGCATAGCTCCATGGCCAGTGAGTTTCAAGAGAGTGACACATGTCTTAGGCTTTAGTAAAACACACAGCTGAAGGTAGGAAAGTTTCACATGTCAAAAACACAACATTATAAGCCTTCAAATGGTGGATAATGAGGTGAGAAGGTGAAGGGAAAATTTAAAAACAAAACTGGACGTCCAGAAGCTTAAAAAAAAACGGATATGAATACTGAATTCCAGCATTCTCATTCATTCTCTTCTTTTCTTCACTTCTCCATATTCTCTCAACTTCCAGATTCATCTTCTTCATCTTCTTCTCCTCTCTTGCATTTTTCCATAGAGGAATAAAGGATATTTGGCCAGATTTCCTCCATCGACATGAGCAACTAAGCCATTGATTCCTGAGGAGCTGTGATGGATCTAGAGCACTGATTGTCAAGGAGATTTCATTTTTCTTGAGTTTGTATTTGTGTTTCAAATTTGGATCTTGTTATAAATTTTTGTTTGAAATTTAGATATACAACTCATCTTAGATTTCATTAGGTTCTGCTACTTCTGAGTTGTGATGTATTTAGAGGTTATAATTTCTTTTTTCTAAGTAGCTTCAATTCAATTTCTGATTTGGTCAAATCTGGAACTTAATTGTTGTGATAAATCTGAGGTGAATTGGTTAATCTTCATCCTGGAAATTATCTAATTACATCATTAGAGTTGATTGCAGACCTACTGTTTGATGAATTGCCTAAGAGAAATATAAATATGATTTTAGGTTGCAAGGAAGGTGAAATCACAGATCCAAGGGAATTCACTTCATTGATATCTCTTTCAAACTCTTTTCTGCATCTTATTCTTCTCTCATTCCTTTTGAAAATCAGTTTTCATAAATAACAATTCATGACAGAAACTAATTCTAGAAGCTACCTCCTTCTCTGTTAGTTTAATTTGTAACTTCTAATTAGTTTAATTCCAGAAGACATTAAGGCTCCTTCAGACTGACCTCTAGTTGACTCATCTCCTACCAAATCTAGAGTATTAAATTTGATCTTTGAATGATAAGAGATTTGAAAAAAACTCACGACTTTGCATGAGGATTTAGAAATAGTGAATCGGTCTCAAAAATGTTGCCATTTGGGTTATGAAACTGAAAGAGGTTGTATTTCAGCCATTTTGCTTGCATGAGAAAATAATTCCCCCTTGGCCTCGGACTTCAGTGTGGCTGAACAAAAACACTCACGATCTTGCGTGGGGATACAATAATGGTGAATAGGTCTCAGAAAATGAGCCATTTGGGTCATGAACTGAAAGAGATTCTGTTTAACTATTGTAGTTGTGCGAGAACAAAATTCACCCTTTGCCTTGGTAGTCATAAAGGCTCCCTAAAAAACCTCATGATTTTGCATGAGGATTCAACAATGATGAATAGGTCTCAGAGATTTCACCATTTGGTTCGTGAATTGTACAGCTATTGTAGTCGCTTGAGAACAAAATTCACCTTTTGCCTCGGAATTCAGCATGGTTCCGTGAAAAAACTCATTATTTTGCATGAGGATTCAAGAGTGGTGAATAGGTCTTAGAAATTTCGCCATTTGGCCCATAAACCGAAAGAGATTCTTTTTTAGCTGTTGTAGTTGCGTCGGAACGAAATTCACCCACGGCCTCAAAAATTCAATGCAACTTGTCACACCTTACTTATATAATACCTTAACATTTCTTTAGAGCCATTTCAGACCACTTTAGATGGTCTAAAACTTAAAAATTTCAATTTGGACGTTAATTTTCAGAAAATTACTGTTCACTGTCCAGTTTTCAGATTACAGGTCCAACTTTGAAAAATCATAACTAATTCTAGAAAAATCGTATGGAGGTGTTCCAAAATTCTATAGAAATATCTTTCAATGCTCTTTAAGGGAAAAATATTAAACTGAACTCACCCTCACTGAAAACGTACAGTTTATTGGATTAAGATTACTATTTGTTTGGTAAAATCTGGACTTTCCAGATTCTGCGCCTTAACTTTGAAAATTCATATCTCTTCGTATACACATCCAAATGAGGTGATTCACCACTCATTTTAAAGTTTGGGATGTTCACTATAAGTATACCAAATTTCGTAGCTTAACCCATTCATATGATTGGTCAAACTGAAGCTCGAAACTAACTGCTCCATGACCTACGTTTTATTCCTTAACATCTCTTTACTTTAATTCTTTTTATTTCTTTGGCATACCTAACATGGGTTTACTTTTTTCCATTCATGCTCATACATTCCTATACATGCCATAAGCTTTATAATTAAATACATGGCATTCACAACATAAGTCATAACATAGGAGAATTATACATTGAATATTAGTATCAATCATTAGCATCAATAATTCTCCACTTCTTCTCCTTGCTTCTCATGCCATTAGTGCCCATCATTGATTGACCTAAATGGTTGGTTATGAAGGGGTGAGATTTGGAGGAATCTCAGTAGCAAACATTACCACATACACGCACAAGATGGATGCTAGTGTATGGTATGTAGTTTTACATAAACTTAAGTTAACTAGTGACATGCCATCATGCTTTATGCTTGGTATAAAAATGCCTGGCCATGGGAACATTTTCAGCAACAATCATCATGTCACAACATCATTCAAACAACAAATACAAACCAACACATGAGCATACCATGTCAAGCACATAAAGGGTAAGTTCACTACCTTGCACCTCAAGCTTTCCTCTTACTTTTCCTTTGACTCCCTTGACTTTCCAACCATGTGGGCATTCGGTCAACATCACCAAACATCCTCTTGAATGTTCCAAAGGTCCTAAACATAACCATAATGATCACACAATCCATTAGGACCATTAGATTACATAAAGTTCAAGACTAGCTTTCTTGAACCTCAACCCTTTCTCTTAGTCTTAGGGTTTTCTTTCTAACTTTTCTAATATAAATCTTATCCTTTCCCATCCTTAAGATCCATTTCTTTTCAATTAGGACCACTTTAGATGGCCTTAGATTCAAGAACACCAAATCTGGAAATTCTGGTTCGCGGGTACTGT